TATGTGGTATTACAGCGCCTTAAAACCTTCACACAAACAAATTTTCGTTTCAAAAGGGTTTTTCGTTTTGCGGCAATAGGCCAGGTCGCATAAAACCTTTTTAAGATAAGAGAGCTCTTAACTTTTGTTCTGGAACAATAATCTATTGTTTTGAAATAATAGTTACGAGTTCCCTTAATCTTAAGATGTTTTTTGCAACCCGACCCTGGAGCTTGAATTTCCAGGCTTTTTAGTTGACGTCTAGGAAAGCTCTTAAGTGGGTTAAAAACATTATCGATTTTGGGAGATTTTGCTATCTACTCATTCCTTGTCTTAGAATAAATATTACTTTAATCTTTATGAGTTTCTCAAGCGAAGAATTCACACATTAGTTGGAAAACTCAAAAACAAATGTTTCTGTCGGTTTCCGACAAACGTGGCGTCTCCATAGAAAGCTTTATAATTTTGGGTAAAACGTTTTTTCCGAATATCTCGCATATGATCATGAAATATTGCACAGACCTGATTCTTGGCTAGGCTTTTTGTATATATATCTTCTTTCACTTTGCCAGATTCTAGACTTCCTGTATTTAAGGGTTTCCATTTTAATTTTGATGGCGTGACCGGCCGTGAAAACCACCAATGGCTGTGTTGCAGACTAAACTCGGTCGCATTTTGAATTAAACCTCAACAGTATCATAAACTCATTAAAACCTTATCATAAAATGAAAATGAAGATAGGTTAGGTATCAAGCTGTGGCCACGGTTTGCTCGATTTTTCTGTGTATTCGCTCCTAACCTTTTTCTTTTTTTTTCTCTGCTTACTTCCCCTTCGCAAACGTAAACGTATGTGTCTCTCATCGAAGATGCAAAATGAGCAAATCTTTTTTAGGACTAAACGATGTAGGTAGAAATCGGGTTTCGGAAAAAAAATTAAAAAAACCTCGTTACGCTGTTTCTCGTTACGCCGTTACCCCGTTACCGATTGTGCCGTTACGGGGTTTACTAACAACCTGTTCTCAAAACATAGCCAAGAAAAGTCTTAATGATGCTGACAGTTTCGATGGCTGTCAGCCATCTTTATCAAAACTTGAAAATCGTCAAAGGTGTCAGAAGCCTTAAATAGGCTTCTGAAGGTGTTGACTATTGCGATAAACGCGCAAAGTCACTCTGTAGATGCACCCCCTCCCTTTTCTTGGCTATGTTTTGAGAGCATTTAAATAGATATTAACTTTACTAGCCTGATAAATTTCTTCAAGAATTTACGAACAGACTACGGACAGTAGACCACCAAGATTGTCCGAAAAACGGAAAATACCACACGTAAACTAGCGCGCAATAGAAATCATTTGCTTTTCAACTTGCGATGTAAAGGCGAATGTGTCATTCCTCCAAGCCTTCGCTTAAAGTGCCCTATTAATTCCGACAAAGCAAGAAACATTGTAGAGAAGGCCAGAAAGAACTTTCTTCGAGAGACGATCGATTCGGCTAACAAACCAGAAAATAAATCATCTACAAGACAGGAGGCGGCGTTTAGCGGAGCGATTCCCAAGCGACGTCCAACAACAATTAAACGCGCACCTAACAAGAGTCCATGAGAGTGTGCATAAACAAGCAAAATGTAGACAATAAGATAAGCTTGCAAGCTCAATCTCAAAGTCGGCGAAAATAAACTTTCAGAACCAGATCTTAGTGGTACACAGATAAAACGGTGGGTTGTCAATCTTTTCAAATACAAACTCAACCAGGATCAAACTAGTTCTGTCGAAAGGTTTAAACTTTGCAATAACGCCGCACCGCACTTCCCACAAACGACATCATAGTAGCTACGGAACTGGCATGCAAGTCGTTCCCTACCAACGAAGCAACCCAACTGAGAACAGAAATAGTCGAAGCGATCAAGTCATCGAAGGTCCTGAAGAGCAACATTTCTAAAGCGGTAAAAACGGCCCTTCGGTCACTGAAACAGGAGGATTCCATCACGATACTACCAGCAGACAAGGGAAGAGCCAAAGTAGTCATGGATAAGACCGAGTATAAGGAAAAAGTCAACGTCGTGTTGAATGACGCTCACACTTATGAGAAATTGCAGGCCGATCCAACCAGTTCTTATAAGAGAAAGCTGATCGAAAAACTCACCAAGCTAAACAAGGATAGCAAGATAACGGAAGATCAGTACAAATACTTGTACCCTACATCTGAGGCCACACCCAGGTGTGACTAGTACTTAGATTTGATATAGTGTCATTGTTAGTCTTTAAGTGACTTAGTGATTGTTAGGAATTGTTGCAAGAACTATATTCATTCATTTATTTATTTATTTATTTATTTTTTGTATTGTTAGTGTGTTTGTTAGCTATTGGAGTTTTAAATTGGTTATTTTATTATCTCCTGTATTCTTTGTGTGGTTAATAAATTATGAAATAAATAATCATCTTCATGTTTGTCCATCCGTTCCTTATGGTGTGTTTTAAGTTATGTCTATTCCTTCTTTTCATGTTTTGTTCATTATGTTTTACTCAATTTGGTGGAATTTAAAAAATTCGTAACACAGCTCCCATAGCGTCCATCTGTATATGGTATTTCAGCAAGATGTAAACGTGTAACAGTGCCGTAAATTCTTAAACGACAGATTTCTAGAGTTGATTCAATTTATGTCGTATGTAAGCTCAAAGATCTTGGAAAAACTCTCGCTTTTAGCAGGTAAAACTAATTAAATTTCTTTCACGAGTCATTTTATTCGAGTTCCCGGATATGGACTCACGCAGTCCGCAGACCAGAACGGACTCTGCTTTGAAACCATTTTTTTTTTCTAATTTGAAATGATTTAAGACAAGTACATAAAAAAATCTTTTGAAAGATTTCGGCTGAATCGCTAAGCCTTTCCAGTGGGGTTTTATGATCTGTCTGCATGCAGACAGTGAATTTCTGACTAAAACTGAACGGAAGCAATGCAAGATTTTTCATTTTTTAACAAATTCGTAAACATGTATTTGCGCTAATAATTAGCAAGGCGCGTGTATGTGAAATCTTCCCTGTATTCAGAGGAACGTAACCAATCTTCGTTGCAGCATAACGAGTAAAACAGGAATAATAACAGAGCTTTCGCCATCGCGGAGCCTTCGTCGCTATAGAAGCTGGAAACCTTTCGATACGGGAAAAGTTGGTTATGACGTCAGCGTACGCTCGGTAAGCCCCCACAGACTTTCGAGGAGGGGAAGGGAACTCTACGGGAGAGGAGAAGGGACTGAGTCCCAGACATGCAGCTTGCGTTTGTCTTGGCGAAGAGTTAATAAAGGCCACCAATAAAGTAACTCCAATATAAAGCTTAGAGTTTCTTTATTCTTGTCTTTAAGACCAAAACTTTGAAAAATTATAATAGAAATAAAATTGGGATCCTGTCCACTATTCGATCCGCAAACCTGGACACAAAGTAACGTTTTCCCAATTTGGCACTAATGGGTCTTAAAGCATTGCCGTAAAGCGAGATTTACCAAAATTTGCAAAACGAAATTATATATGTTCGATTTCTACCCAGGATGTATCTGGACTTTTAACCAAAATGTACCGGATTTTGTGATTTTGAACTTTATTTGGTCAGCTTAATTACATTTTTGGCTTTTAAAGTCATTACAAGCAATATTAAGCAAGGTTTACGGCTTATTTATTGCGAAGTTGTCTCTTTGACACTAGGACAATCATTCTGATTCCATTTCTCAGTTTCACTTCCCTGTTTGGGGATGCGGCTCACTTCTTTCCAATCCAGAAGCTGTGTCGTCGTCGTCGTCTTCGTCTTCGTCTTCGTCTTCGGCGTCGCCATAAGAAAGCCTTTGCATCTGCTGCCTCATGATCGTTAGGATTAGACTTTGCACTGAATCAGACAAGAAAAATTTTTTTTCTATTTAAATCAGTTAAAGAACGGGCTGTATGTAAAACATACTGTTAATTTATTAGTTTTGAGGGTCTCAGTGCCCTCAAGATTCACATAAATAATATTAGCAATAATAGTTATCTTAAAAAATGTCCAAAAATGAATAAGCACCGCAGTGTTGTTGGGCAATGGGTTGCTTATTTGATCAGGCGCTCTTTCGGGCAAATAATGTAGTTCGTCGTATTTATTCGAAAGAGCGGCGCGGAGCTTCTTAAATTTTTGGACTTACTTTAGAGAGGCGGTTTTTCGAGTAGATACGGTTTTCATGTATTTCAAGGCTTTATTAATTTTGGTCAATTTGTATTATTACATTTGACGGCTTTCTTACAGTTAAGGTCAATTCGTATTACATTAATTTGAGGACCTCCTTACATTTGTGATAAGTTAGTATACAATGCAGTTTATTCTTAGAAAATGCAGGTGAAACGAATTTTTGAGTACTTCTGTCCAATTAAACTCTAATCGTTTATAATCGGCTATATAATTGAGTGTTAGGCAGTTCTTTGTGCACCGGATTAGAGCAGAACCCGCTGACTCGAACCAGGGGGTTCGAAAAAGCAAGATGCAAATTCACTGAAGACAGAGCCCAAGGTGAATGCAAAGTACATACTTGGAGTTCAGAGCAGATAATTCCTAAATTGTAGCAGTGTTTTCACTGATTTGCTTATAGTGGCATTAACTGGCTGTTTTTATACTAGAGGAAGCATTATCAGCCAAACGGATAATGCGTCTGTGGCGGTTTTTATACAACAGTCGCATTATCCGTGCGGACAAACTTGTAGTTTGTCTGGTTATGCTTCATGAGTATAATTAAAGACGGGCCCAAGTTAAGAGGCATTATGCGTCTGGACGAACTGTCCTTCGTAATACGTCTTGAACTACCCACTACGAAAGGTAATTTGTCTGGACGCATAATGCGTCTTGTGCCAGTCTTTATACTTGAGACGCGCAACCAGACGAACTACAAAATATTTGCCCAAGTTCGTCCAGACGGATAAAGCGTCCTTACTATAAAAACGGCCATTGCATGAGTAAGCTGTCACCACTGCTGGATTCTCGAAGAAACTGTAATGAATTTATACCTTTCAGAGTGCTTTACCAGGTTTTTATCACTTTCTTCGACGTCCACATCATCACTGTTGCTAGCAGCTTTCTCTTCATTTTCATCATCCTCAGCTTCTTCGTAGTTGTTGTCTGCCAAATTTCCGTCACATTTAAGTGGATCTGTTACATCTTGAGGAAGGGAACTCACACTGAAAACAATTGATAACCTCAAAGAGATTGCCTCATTTATTGTTTCAATTGACGATCAATAAACACAAATTACAAACAGTCGCTCCATGCAAGGGAATCCGGATTCCGGAATCTGGGAAATTATTGTTTGTAGAATCCGGAATCCCGGGCTTTGGAATCCGGAATACAGCTCAGGGAATCCAGAATCCTACTAAAGATTGGAATCCAGAATGTAAGTTCCACTGACAAAGACTCGAATCCAGCACCCTGTGTCCGGAATCCATGGAATGGGATCCTGAGAATCCAAGACGACTGTCTTGGATTCCCATACATGGAGCGACAAACAGCCTTAAAGGGGTAATGCTACGTTATTTCCTATCGTTTTAAAAAGCTAAAACGCTTGTCCGATCAATTAAATTCCAAAAATAATGGTCCAGTTTTTTATTCAAGACCATCTTTAGGCATTGAAGCTGTTTGGACATTTGAAAAAGTTGAAGTTGGGCGAATATTTTTAAGTTTTATTGCTATGCCTGCATAAATCACCCAAAAGATAATTATGGTTAACGTGAAATTTGTTTGATATCTTCATCATAACTCTACAGGAGCAAATAACGGTACTAAGTAATGATTTCAGCACAGAATTGACCTAAAACGACAATGGCTCCCATCCTCTACCCCCTCACTGGGAGATGGGCCACTGAAGTAGAGTCTCTGCAGAGCTCTCACTTCAGTACAGGTCTGCCCACATGGGGAACGACTGAACTTGTAAAAGTACACCCATATACAAGCCGGAGACTCAATTTTTTTTTCATACGTTTGGGAGGTTCTTTCACGTTCTGCGTTGCAGGGCCTCGTTTTGGTGCAAAACTCATTTTGCGTCCTACGTAACCTCAAAATAAGCACTTGAATACTATCGAACTCATTGCTTTATAATTTTGTTTTCGTTCCACGTACAAATTTGCCTTCATTTTATTTTGCAGGTCTCTCCGAGGGCCGTCAACTTACTGGCCATTAAAACAAAACCTATATTTTTTTTACCTTTTCAGGTTTAAGATAAATATGACGGTAAAATGCAACTGAGGCAGTAAAACGTGAACTTATCTGACTGTAAATAATAATAGCTTTCCTTGAATTGAGATCCGATAACCAGGCACCTCTGCACAAAAATTAATCACCTTTCAGGATCATCCACGATATTCTCAACAACTTCCACAGTTTTGTCAAAGTTTTCTTCGTCTTTGTCAGCTAACCCATCTTCGCCACCTGTCTCATCAGAAGAGTCAGATTCTCGTTCATCATTTTCAGGATTTTTGGACGTTTTAAAAGGCTCGTGGGACACAATGGCCTGCATCAAAGCACCAAGGAAACAGCCAACTAAAGCTATCACAACAAGAGCCTTCATGACACCTTTATGGTGCTTGATTGAGCAGTACGAACCACTGTGCTACTCAGAGGGATATCATTTGTGCCTTTGTACTTAAGGGGTTTTAAACCCTTCTAATGCCATATTGCTTGCTAATCAGGCGTATGTTTTACCTATTGATCCTCGCCAACCTGGGATGTAAAGAGCTCATTTAGGCGCTCCAATATCAAAGTACTCGTAGTATTTAAATGTTGCCCTAAGGACCTTGATAAATACTGAGTGATGGCAAAACAAGAAAGGAAAAATAACAAGATATTTATAGTAAAGGTATATATCATGCACTGTGTACTCCTTTGGCTCCGTATTGTGGGAGTAGGGCGTATTATTCGTGAGCATATTACTCCTCATTATGTAAACCTTAGCCCATTTGCTAACTATTTTATGATCTCCACAGAGATGAATTAGTCCCTTCTCTGCCCTTTTACCACCCCCACCACTACTTTCACTTCTCTATCAGAGGAACCGGTCGGTGGGCCACTTAAATTTTAATGCTACTTGTATATCCTTTCGGCGTGTTAATCATGTCAACGCTTCCTAGACTTATAAGAGTTTATAAATCACGTTCCAAAGTAATCGGATGCTAGATGTGTTTTGAAGGGAAAACAATAGTCAAGGGAGATTTGGTTACTGTTAGTTTAACTCGTGGAATGCCGCGCTTTCATGGTAGCCAATAAAGTAGACTCCTGTTGAGCATTTTAGCATACTAATGACTGTAGGCCTAGAAGCTTTGACTGACTGTAAGTAAATGTCACGAGAACAATAGTCATTTCTCCCGATTTCCCTGTCTATGTCTCTCTGTTTTCTGCTTCGGCAAAAGCGTTCAGTTACTGTGTCGGAAGTACTAATATTAAAAACAAAACATTCTCCTTAGTAACAGCGTGGAAAACCAAATAAATCAAGTCCAAATTTTTTGACGCAATGGTGTCTACTAATTCGTTTTCTCAGTTTTCGTTTTCGTTTTCCGTTCTATTAATAATAAGTGCAGCTTGCTCTATGATTTTGCCATGATATATAGCCGAAGCTTGTTAAAATTAGTAAGTAGCTATTTGTGGCTGCCAGATCAACCTTTGTGCCATTAATATTGCTTTTAAGTTTTCTCGCTTAACCTCTTTGCAGTACGTTTTCTCTTTTATCATGGCAAAAAAATGTTGTTTAATTGGAAGGGGACACAATCAGTTCCACTTTTAATATCTTGCCTCTCTACAGGTTCTCATGTCAAGATGATAACCTATTGCAGCCAATCAATAAGAAATGGGGGGAAATAAAAATAACACTAAAAATAAAAATGAAGGTACAATCTGTTGCAAATACATGTCTTGAGTGGTCATTAAGTGTGACCCTCCACCTCACAAAACCTGTATCGCTTAACCGTATTTTGGCTTTCAGTGTTGTTTAAGGTTTCAGGTGTGTTTGAAGGTATATTTACTGTACATTTAAGTTTATTTCAGATGCTAAAGTGATTAACAACAGAACGTCGTTAACAATCCAGAGCTTTTCCACTTTTGGAAATGTGCGAAACAGTAGCATGACGTGACAGCATGATTAACCTGATCAAGGCGTCTTTAGACCATTACCTTTGGCTTATGTTAAAATACCAATTGTTCATACGTGAATTTGACATTTCTTAATACTTTTGCCAGGCGTCACACATTGAGAGGTCATGGCCGGCTGGGTTGATTTTCTGATTCATTCCTGTCAGTTTAAATACTGACAGGATTTGACCTCTGATGCAGAGTTTCCGCATTTTCCTTGTTGACGTCTTTTAGAGGGATATAATTTTTTATTGCAGCCAGATAACCGTAAAAAAAGGTTTAAGTTTCTTTAGATTTCTCTGAAAAGCCTGGATCGGAAGACTAAATGATTTTATGTCCGTGAATGTGATAAATCTCTGCTCAGTTTTGTCATGCAGCTGCAGTGGGCCTAGAATAAATATTCACTTGGCTTCGCCGCGACCAAAATCCTCGCTAAATGAAATCAAAATTATGTTCCTGTTTCTGCAAACAGTTTGTCCCGAACAATAGAAAATATCATTAGACTATTGTCTTCACAAAGTTCGCTTTCCTAGACCGAACCATGATTTCCTTCCTGGAAACCGAGGCAAGGGTGAATTACTTCTGTAACTCCACATGGAAAGTACCAGAAGCTCCGGAGATCGATCGGACCGCGCGCTCTGTCGTTATTTAGTCCATGCAAACAGATATCAAATACACTTTTCTCTTCTCCTGCAAATGGTCCATCCCAACAAGTGATGAAAGGGTTCATAACTTTTCAGGTCAGTATGTTTTTGTTACGTAATATGGTTGACTAATCTCGACTCTCGAATAAATGTCATGCATAAATTTCAGGAAAACAAGCCTCGCGTCAAGTGACTCCAAATTTGCACCGTGATTGGGTAATTCGCGGATCATATCATTTCCAAAAGTGGAAAAGCTCTGGCCTGATGAATGCCGAGGAGTGGGGTTTCTGGCAGCGAGGTCTGGAATCGAGATTACATGATCGCGCCAGTTAGCAAAATTGGTCGAGTAAGACTAAGTGCAAATTTTCTTTCAAAAAAAATACGGCGGTGGATGCAGACATGAAAGGACGATGAGTTTTTGCTCGGTTTTAAGTTTTCCCGCGTCCAAACATCAAGAAAAGGTTTTCATGAACTTTTTCAATGGAAGTTTGTGACATCAGGAGACGTGATGTATGAACAGTTCATGGGTGACTTCACTTTATATCGTGATTCGGCATCTCGGCAAGTTCAATACTCCTTAATAATAATACTCCTGTATCACACAGGACGTGAATTTTCGAGCGACCAGCCTGCTCCATCTCTTATCTTTTTCCACTAATAGTGGTATTAAGACTCTCTTCCAAGATATATGCCACGAGCACACTATGTTAGTATAAGTCTTTCAACAGTCATATGTCTGAATGTTCATTAAACTATTTTCTACTTCGCTGTAATTCGTTTCGTACGTTTGTTTGAACACCACACCAAATACTTATGGGCGTAAATACAAAGGAAAGGGCTAATTTAGTAAAAGCCAGTGGTTGATGTTCCAATCATTTTGCTTCACATATACTGGGTCTGTCAGTACAAGCTATTTTTAACATCAGAAAAACCTAAAACTTCATTGAAATATCGTTGGAGTGTCATCAATAAAATTCTAATAGCAATACCGTATTAGTAATTTTATATTAGATGGTGTCTTCAGTTTCAAGTATTTTCTTGAAATTGTTTATACAAAGATTACCCTATAAGCTCTACTTTTCTTCTCAGGTGAGGAAACAATTCCAACTCTTAAGGATTTCATTTAAGCCATAATACTGTTGTTTGCGAAGTGATAAACTTGTGAACTGAAAATTCTGACAAGATCGATTTTTACACTTTCGCGTGATTTGATCCGTCAATCAAATCGTACTTTTAATGCTTTCATCTCTGATTTTGTTGAGATCACTTGGTGTGCATATATACTAAATAAATAACAATTATTCACCGAAGTGGAGGTGGCCAGTGAGACAACGATGCGGCGAAGCAGCGATGTAAATACCCACCACTAGCCACCGACACTAAGGTGAATAATTGTAAATTAGATAATTTAGATAATTGAGCACAATTTTGGCGCGTAATGACCGAACGGCCGCGGCCGTCGCTTTTCCTTGCTGACAAATAAAACTTTTGAAGGCATTTGTTTAGCTCTTGCGAGGAAATTTCTTCAAAAGGAGTTGTGAATTCTTTTTGTATTTAAAGTCATTCTGTAAAATAAGATTATTAAATTTAGTTTTAAGCTTATTTATGAACAAGTCAACTAAATAAAGTAACTCAAGACTAAAGCTTAATTTGTATTTGCAAACAAAAAACTTTTTCACCGGCCTTATCGATACATTCGAGTCAAAAAGACAAAGATCTACCTGATAAAACTTCCAAACCGAACTTCGTCACTTTCTTCGTGTATTTCGGGAACAGCTTGCTTGATTAGTTGTAAAATTTCTTTGTTTGTTACAGCAGCAAACCAAGAAGGCATGTTGCTCGCAACGTACGTGAGGAACTGGAGGTGAATCAGTGAATATATAGTGCAGGATATTCACTGATTGAGTAGCTAATCAAAGCGCGCGAAAAACACTATCCACTGTTTTAGTATATACAGAAACTCATAAGGGGTTGAAACGTGTAACTCTCATATGTTTGCTTTGTCCGATGCTCGTGATTATTCATTTTCGAAAGTACCATGTTTGGAACAAGAAGAAGAGATAACTGACCAATCAAACATCGTAAACAACGTGACGTAGTTTTACTTCATGTTCCCGCGCCCGCTTGAAAAAAATGGCCGACAAACGGGGAAAAAACTCCCGAACGCCGAGAAAGCTTTTAAAGGTTGAAACCAGGAATCTTACCGAAACACTGAGCAGGATATTATTGCCTTACCACCCGGCCCAAACATAACATTATGAAACCCATTGACGTCCTTGCAACTTCATGAAGTTGTCACTTCAAAAAACGATGCTTCGTTGACCCTCTGCACAGTGAACTTATACTGCAAATAGGCTTTTATAATTCTTATATTAAAAGTCTATAATAACAGTAAAAAATACTTTCGAATAAAATTCATTAGCTGCGTGTCGAAAAGTGTCCAAAACCTGAGCCTGGCATCTTCGCAAAAGGTGACGCGTTTAATGAATGTGAGAAGCATTTAAGCTTTAATTCAGCTTGGATGTTGTAGTCACGATCGTGTTTTGAGCTAATTTTATGAATGAACAAACTCAAAACAATAGACAGAGAAGAAAAGTTAATCCTTAAAAGCAATTCGGAAAACACTATCTGGATCGTGGATCCGTTCACGCAAGTGAAATCGGCTGAGCACATGGCAACATTCAACACAAAATGCATCTCAATTCGGGGCACATTTTGTAATTTTTCTCTATCGCCGAAGAGAAATATTTATAAAACGTCTATGAAACATTTAAAAATACATAAATTCCCTTTCAAAAACGTAATTGTCTTGGCCATAGAGTGCAAAATGTACCTGAAAAACTTCACTGCCTTGGTTGCATTTCAAAACAGACCATGCGCTCCGTCGTGAAGAAAACAAGGTTTGAAAGGTTGAATTCCTTGAAGGACGATTTCTTGATGAAAGGTTAAAGGTTAAGGTTAAAGGCATGTTTATAGTGGAAGGTGCTCTTAGCTAGTCAGCTAATTTACAGGCACTCCACTCAAATATTTAGAAACAAATAATTCAAATACAACATAACAGGATTAAAAACCCCAACTGGCAGAAGGCAACCAGTTGGCTATTTACAAGCGTGGCCGAGAATTTGAACTCGGGACGACCAAGCACAAATCCGGCAAGTGGCCAGAGCGGGACTCGAACCCGGGACCGCCGGATTGCGAGTCCGACGCGCTGACCACTCGGCCACCCTGCCTCCCTCCAAAAAAAGAAAGCTGAGCATTCTATGGATCTTTCTCTTTCCATTTTTTGTCTTTTAACGGTGTATTTTTAACCTTGAAATGCAGAACTCTTGTCTTAAAACATCTGCATGGTAATCAAGTGGCAGCCATTTGTTTAAAATGGATATCTGCCACTAAGGTTTCCAAATATGGTAAAAGTGAATATTCATGAGCATTGAACGCCAGCACACGTTTAAACCCCTTATGAGTTTCTGGTATATACTAATCAACAATTATTCTTTGAAACCAAGGTGAATAGCTAGATCTTTGCAGAATTTTCAAACATGGCAATTCACAAGTTTATCATTTCGCAAACAACAGCGTAATGGCTTAAATAGAACCGCTAAAAGTTTGAACTGTTTCCTTACCTGAGAAGAAAAGTGGAGCTTTGTTGTTTTCTGTTGACTCGCCAAGTTTATAGCCAAAAGGGCTTGTTGTGTCCTTCTTCGCATGAAGTGCTGACAAAAATGGCCGGCTCGGTTGCTCGAGGTAAGACGTCGTCTTCCTGTCAGTCTGTCCTGTGTCATTCTTTTGCCTGTTTACTTGAAAGGTAGAATTTCTGCAAACATTTCCTTTTAAATTTGTTTGTCATTAATAAACTTCGATTTCTGAGCCAAAATTTTCTTGTTAGAAAACGCTGAGTTCACGAAACCGCACGGCTTCTTCTACGCGAATACACGGGAGTTGTAAACAATCCATCCAGCACAAAACTCACCTACAGTAAATTGAAAAACGCCGTATTGAATCCGTCCAAGTCTTTTCTTGCCTCAAAAAAACGCCAGTGCTAGGATTTTGTCGACTTTTAAAAGATCGTTCTCTAAAAAGAATGGGAAAAACACCGAGCTCACACATTATCCACTCGCTAGGCGGTGAATATTGTTGAATAGTCCGAGATAGCGAACCAATCAGATTGTTTAAATGACCAAGATCACTGAGTGTGTATATACTAAAAAAAAATTGTTGTTTTCAATCTCGGCGAATATTGGCTTTAGGAATATTGACCTCGCCGCTTCACTTTATATTTTTTATTTTCCTAAGCATCCTCTGGTGTTTTTCACATCCATTGGTACAAGGCAATTGTGGTAAGTCGAAGTACAAAACGAAAACGTTTGGCATGGAAAGCGACGTTGCCCGCACAACGTGAAAACAGTGAAAATGGCGTTGTGAGGACGCCGGGAGGTTGCAGACAACTTCTTTCGTTCTGCGCCTGACTGAACCAGAAAATGGACTTAATAATAATAATCATAATAATAATAATAATTTAAACATATTTATAGAGGATAGCTGCATCAGTTTTACGAAAAACTGCTATCAATGCAGGTCCTGTAAAAAATTTAAAAGAAAAAAGATAAAAATGAAAAAAACAAAAATAATAATAAAAAATAAATTAAAATAAATAAAGATACGGATAAAAACAAATTACAGTAGTATAAAATAGTTACATTAAAATGAAGATTCGAACAGTTATAAATTCTAAGAATTATTAAAAATTTAATTTTTGTACCTTTGTAGAAAAAAGCGCACTTGGAGCATTCTAAGTTAACTTTTTCTTACGGTGGCGGTGAATGTCACGCACGGTTTCTTACATTAAAATGATTAAAAGGGTATCTGGGAACCCTATTTGCAATGCACTCATTAAAAAGTCTTAAAATGTGTGTCCGTCTTCTGTAATAGAGAGGTTCCAAGCCCAGTTTGGTCATAATTTTATCAGCTGACAGTTTTGAGACAGCTTTGAAGTAGACGATCCTCGTCTTTGTAGTCGTTCAATCTTGTCACTGTTTCCTTGTCCTTGTCTAGAAAACATTCCGAGTATCTTAGATACCTTCATCCTCATGTAGTCCACATGGTTATTGAAGGAAAGGGTGTCATCAAGAACAACACCCACACCGTAATTTTAGGGACTTATTATAACTCCAAAAATGGAGTAAAAATTTTAGGTACAGGATAACTCCTTTTCTGGGGTTATTTTAACTCCTCAATATCTGACTGTGCAGGTGGGTACTTAAACGTGTCCGTATGCTTAATGCACTCTCCATTTAGGCTTATATCAGTTTCTTCCGGTACGCCGTCTTCGTGTCTCCCGTCCTGGTGCTTAAGGTCTCTATTAAAGACGCTTAGGTATAATTTCTCGGTATAAGTCAAATCACTGGTTCTTTAATTCAGTGCTAAATATTTTCCTAGTGCTGCCTTAAATTCATTGCCAGAGTGTTTCGATTATGTTTGCCACTTAGTAAAATCAAGTTAAACGCACAATTACAATGAACTTTTAAATCTTTTTGGTGTTTTAAACGAACTTGTTGTTGCTATTTTTTTTTATGTTTTACGAATGAGGTTTTACGAAGTATCAGCGTCCCAACTGTGATTTGGCCATACACAAACTTAGATGGTTTAATGTAAAATAAGCAACTTAGGTGAGCAAAAACTGCATGATGGTAATCGTGTTATGTTTATTGTTTACAGCACATAAAGTATGTCTATCTGTTACATACAGAACGTACAGAAATGGCTATTGATGATTACGTGATTACAGACCACGTAATTAAATAGCAATCACGAAAGTCAAGTTGAGATAATTTACAAACGGAAGAGAAACAAAATTAGCTGATTTTCAACCTACTTGAGCTATGCTTGTGAAATTCAGACAGGAGATTTACCTCACTTTTTTATGGAAGTTGAGCCCGCAGATTGGAACTTTTTCCAGGCTATATTTTGTAGCCTTGCTATTAAAGGGAGAGGTTCACGGTTCAGCGCATTCTCATTTTTCAAAATGCTGTTTTGTTGCCGGGGCATTCTGTATCGTGTATGCAAGCAATATGATCATGTCGTAATGAACCAATCTGCACACTCCCCAGGCAGTCACTTGCACTTGATCGCCTTAAAGGGACCGGTTCATGATAATGCGCATGCGCGCCGTTTGTCTCTTCAGAATAAATTTGTTGGGTCAACACTAAATTCGAAATCGCCATTACCGGTACAATCATTGAAAATCCTTCGTTTTATTCAGACATCCGTCGCTTTGGCTGGTCTAGTTATACTTCGGTAGTGGTGATTAACGTGTGGTTGTGTCGTTTGACTGGTTACGTTTTAAGAAGACGCAAAAAATAATGTTTTGATCATGGAGGTTGAGAAGAGCATCGTGGCCGTCCGGCAACAGGACGTTCTCAAGAGTCTCTGGAGATAGAGAAGCTTAGCCTATCGATCTGGTATGGTTCTAGGAGTAGTGTGTGGCATACGAAAAGAATACACGACACTTGGAAAGTGGTTAAAGGCATGAGTTCGTTCAACTTTGATTTGATTTTTGACTCCGACCTGTAGTTATACCGCAACAGGCCGCGCGATCTTCACCGATCTGGTACACTTGAAATGTTCCTTGTATCTTTGCTTTATGATCGTATATGTTTAATAATTGATGTTTTTAAAATAAATTATTGCCTGAATATTCTGTTCATAATCTAGTTTCTTTATGTGTGCTACTCGATAACATTTGTTTTGCGGAACACTGACCCGATGCAACGCGAATGAATTTGTTTATTTGCTGATAAGCAATTGAAATTTATGCTCATTTAAGGATAATCTTTATACTCATACGTTGTGTGTTTTTGTCACCGGTCCGGCGCTATTTGTAGGTATTTCTGGGTTTATATAAGGCGAACTGAGAGAACAGTAATAAGATGTTTGTTTACAAATTTTGTTTGCCGATCGGTCACTGTTTTGTTAGCGTGGGTACGACCTCGTAAAAATACACGTTGGTAAATGTTTGTTTCAAAGCAGGACAGGGCTGTAAATCTTATTCTTATCGGCTGCAACATATATCTGAGGAGTAGCAAAGAATAAAGTTGAATTATGGGGATAAATAAAATCAAACCAAATGCCCGGAAATACTCTTGCGTCGCGAACAATTAATTTGAATTTTGTAAATTTACTTGCGTGCATCTAACTCGCTTCCGATTGGTTGAAAAACAATCAGCTACTGTCAGAACTCACACATGCGCATTATCGTGAACCAGTCCCTTTAAATATTTGCAAATAGCTGTAAATTAATCAACCATGGAATAAAACCGTCGGGTCAACAATAAAGTCAACGTTGGTAGTGTTGGCATAATCCACTGATTTTTTCTGCGATTTTGGAATTCCTCCATCCTACTTCAGGTTACTCTGAAATACACTTCTACTTTGAAATACACTCTGAGACCGCTGAGGTACATGTGAGTGGGATTATTAACCGATAGAATTAATAATAAATTGGCAAAACGTAATTTAATTAATGAGCATGCGCTTAACCGTGAACCTGTCCCTTTAACTGAGGTAATTTTGCGTTAGCCCTCCTTCTTTGATTCTTGCCAATTTCTTGCTTATTAGTACAGTTGTTGAGTACGTCATACGGATACTATACTGGCATATATAAGTTAAGCAGCTAGAAAATAGAAAGAGAGGTTGCATAATCAAACACAAGGCCATTAACCAAGGCTTCATAGGTTTTCAGCCTCAATGCGATTTTACTTACCCTCGATCTTCAGCTTCTTTTACAGGGTACGCTTTTATACTTTCAATCTCATGAAAGCCTTCACTCGGGGCATTTTGCAAAATATACAGTTGATCAACCCTCAAAAGTTTTCCAAGGTAACAAATACATTTTTGTAATGTTCATGAAGAAACCCTGAAAATAGATTCCCAGTAATAAATGATTTTGACTAAAGTTTCTTTTTCCCACCCCCTTTAAGTTGATTGTGTTACCTCCAGCTTTCGTATATGTGATGTGTACTTTGAGTTGAACACTGTTGAACACTCAAAACTCGATTTTCAGTCAACACTGTAAAAATAGGTATAGAATTGTTTACAATTAAATTCGTACTTGCTTGGGTTTAACATCTGGTTTATCACACGGATAGGCGGGATAGTCTAATTGGTCAAACGAGCTTGGTTTGGTTCTTAAAATTGATGATTCTGAGTTTGAAGAATGAACACTTGAAAGGTGTCTTTGGTAAATTATTTTTGTCTTTTACAGCCTCGAAATGTGGTGTTTTACACAGCGTTGACACTTTGATTTTCGGCGCAAAAAGCTTTAGATCATGAGTAAGTTAGTCCGAGTTGACAAAGACTAGATTCACTTCAGCCCGTGGGAAATCAACTCGTATAAAGGACATGACATACATGAGGCTATTGAAGCTCTCGGGTTGCAGATGTCGATAGCGCCTTGCAAGTCACGTGTTTTAGTCTCGTCACTAAAGGGATTTAGAGTCTTGTTTACTGCAACGATAATGTGACCACCTTTTCCTTTTGCTTGTCGTTTACTGTTTGTGAACAACACAAATATTAACTCTTTTTTGCACATTTTATCTGATCGCTAATTCCTAATTTGTAAAATATCATCAACTTGAATCTCAAGGTTGCAGTTTGCTATGATGTCTCAGTTGATTTACACAAGGAAGAATAAATTTTATTAAATCAGTGTCCCACGAAATCACAGTCCACGACTATTTATAAGCACAGGTAACCCAGGCTCTGTGATAGTACCACAGTACGGTTCCAGTAAAATTACAGTGTTTGTATGGGGTAAAAATATCATCCTAAAATTTCTAGGAAATACTAAATAAAGATCAATGAAACTTACTCTGCAGTTAATTGTTGTTGTCCTTATTGCTCCAACGAAGTTTCGTGATAATTTGCAGTAATTTGTTCAAATTCACTCTATCTACAATAATAATATACAAGGTAGGAAACACGAGGTGCCATTTTCGCCGACATGCTCTCATTCAACACAACTTTTTCCACGAAATTCGAACTCCAACGGAAAATAAACATGCCAGGATCGTAGAAATAGGATAGCAACAGATATGGAAACCAATGAAGCTTTCCCAGATAGAGAAACGAATCCCACAGACTTGGACAAACTCGAAGAATATAATCCAAACACACCGAGAATACGCTCGCCGAAGCAGCCGGGCCAGATCAACGCGCGGCCAAGAAAATGAGGCCTGGGCACTGTACAAAAAAATTCCATCCCGGGGGTCCTGGGGTGACCTTTCTAGGGACCGATACATCATTTGCCCAAGGCCACCCTCCCCTGCTGGAAAAATACTTGATAGAAGGCAATTGTTCTTCCTAGCCAATCACCATTTGCCAGAGCAAACCCCGCACACGCGCCTGAATTTAAATGGCTAAAAAAAAGTAATATAATCAGGAGAGTCTGCGGAGTTACAAGGCGTCCCATTTCTTTTACTAAGGAATGCAAATAACAGTAATGAAACTAATGAAATAACAACGCGAAATGCTTACAAGGCGGGCTAAAAACAAGGTTGAACAAAAGGTAGATGATGACTGAGATACTGTTGCTGTGAACTCTCGAGCGAAACTATCGTAAATAAACGGTGAAGCTTACAAACTAATGTCAAAAATTATACAGAAAATTGCGACAGAATATGAATTGCGATAACTGAGACGAATGTGAAAGGCACGTGCACTAGTAAACAAAGAACTAGCGCGATTAACATATTTAGCGATTAATGCGGCAGTGAAACGCCAACTTCTTGTCAATACAAGTGAACGCTCTATCGGTTAAATATGTGAATCATCGTGATACACCTCTCTTTGAATTTGGTCCTGTTGTACAAATGCCTCGGTAAGAGCCAAAATTCACCATATTTTTTGCTCGTTTTAAGTTTTGTAAATCGTCCTTCGTTGTTCTTTCCTTTGCCCTTATAACCTTGCCCTATTGATGTTTGATAAACTTTCTGAGGACCAGCGCCAGGAGCTGAATATAGTTCGAGAGGAAAATAATCTCTTTATAACAGGCCATAGTGATTGGCTAGGAAGAACAATTGCCTTCTATCAAGTATTTTTCCAGCAGGGGAGGGTGGCCTTGGGCAAATGATTTATCGGTCCCTAGAAAGGTCACCCCAGGACCCCCGGGAGGGAATTTTTTTGTACAGTGCCCAGGCTTCATTTTCTTGGCCGCGCGTTGATCTGGCCCGGCTGCTTCGGCGAGCGTATTCTCGGTGTGTTTGGATTATATTCTTCGAGTTTCTCCAAGTCTGTGGGATTCGTTTCTCTATCTGGGAAAGCTTCATTGGTTTCCATATCTGTTGCTATCCTATTTCTACGATCCTGGCATGTTTATTTTCCGTTGGAGTTCGAATTTCGTGGAAAAAGTTGTGTTGAATGAGAGCATGTCGTCGAAAATGGCACCTCGTGTTTCCTACCTTGTATATTATTATTGTAGATAGAGTGAATTTGAACAAATTACTGCAAATTATCACGAAACTTCGTTGGAGCAATAAGGACAACAACAATTAACTGCAGAGTAAGTTTCATTGATCTTTATTTAGTATTTCCTAGAAATTTTAGGATGATATTTTTACCCCATACAAACACTGTAATTTTACTGGAACCGTACTGTGGTACTATCACAGAGCCTGGGTTACCTGTGTTTATAAGGGGATGGAAATTGCACCAAAAAAAAAAACCCAAAAACGGAAAAATTTCTTTTCCTCCCTGCAAAGCATTGATTTTTTGGCACCAGTAAGTAACAAAAACAAAAATTGACGAAATTGACGATTATGAAGTTAGAAAACTTTCGTATTGCCTCACACGTTTTCGACAGTGGCTAGATTCTGTCGTAATCCTACACAGGCGTGATTATTATGATTATTATGTTATTTTTTTGGCGGGGAGCGGGGGATGTTTTAACCATTTGTATATTTGTCTTTGTTGATGAATTGATGAAGGGATCTCTCCAAAATGTTTTCTTTTGAATAGTAAAACAGCATTTAATTTTACACGTGAGTGAGAAGTAAAAACGTATCCTTTGCAAGAAATCAGCGAGTTTAAACGAATTCAATTTATAGTTCCCGCCAAGTATTCCCTTGAACTGAAGCGCAGATTTATAATTTGCTCAACTCAGCTTGGCTTTACAGAGAATACCGACAAAAAAAAATCAAAATCGACAATATCAGAATAGAATATAAATAATGAGGAAAGATCAGGAATGTCCATATTAATGATTAGTGAGTTGGGATCACCCAGATAGCAAAGGCTAATTTTGGTGGTTGAAAACAATTATCATAAAATATATTTAGACGCAGCATTGGTTAGAAAGTTTGCTTTGATAAAAAAGCGTTTTCTTATTGCGCTAGGCTAGATAATAAATTAATGAAACAATCAAGTATAGATATCGAAACTAAAGGCGCTACGAAATAATGGACTTAAGTGAAAACAATAAAAATAAGGGCAAGGAGGGAAAACAATAGAAATGTGGTGGTGGTATAAAATTTTCACTTTTTACGATTTATATCACTATAAATAATTATAGATGTGGTGGAGGGAAAATAAAAATAAAAAGGAAAATTAGAAAAGGAAAAATAAATTAATTGTGGAGGAGTAGGAGGGGTGTAGGGTGAGTAAAACATTATCCTCCGTGCTAAAAAGAGCTAGTTTGCCTTTGCCCTCATTAATATGCAAGATTTGCCCGCCAAGAATCAGTAAACCGCAACTAGGACAATGACAGAGGAAAAAATATAACTAATTACGTTACGGCTCAGTAATTTAAGGCACATGCGATTTTGACTTTATTCCTCAGACACCATGAATTAACCAATAAAAAAGTTTCATATTTTCTAATCAACCAACAGAAAACCAAGACATTTAGCGACCTAAGAATAACTAAAAACCTTTGAAACCGGTTAAACCAACTAGAACTAGCACATGACCCTATCTTAATGACATTCCTACGCATTTTACTTTATGAGATAAAGACTAAAGACAACGACGTCACCGGCGTTAATGTATTCTACCGCAAGTTAATGAGATTCCACCCAAAAAACCGGAGTAAAACATCACAACTATGCTACTTATATGTTACTTTTCTGATTCTGTTGAGATCACTTCGTGCGTAAAAATATTACTCACGTCAGGCTCAGTTCATGAACTTCGCCTTCGGTAAATAATTGTAAAATATATATGTATGCAGTCGAACAATCAAAAGACGACACCTCCCCGAAATAGAGTTAGTCCTTACGATTTTTCGGTCATTTTCTAAACCATTATATAATTTAAGCCACCGAAACAAAATAAAGGATCACTGTGCAAGAACTAACTTGGAACTATTTTACTGATAGAACTATGTTTACGAAAAAAGTTAAAAGTTGAAATCTATCAGGCTTGGAAATTCACACTGTTTAAATTTTAAACTATACATTACGTTATTACAAGAGAGAGTATTATAATTATTCTTTCTTGGTTATTATAAAGACTAGCTTCTCCAGGGGAGGATCTCCTCTCAGTTTCAGTTATCTCCGTGGTACAGGCTGGATGATGCAATCTATTTGGAGAAAGACAAGATAAATGTTTTTAACGGGACAACTTCAAACACTGTCTTAAATCTTAAGAAAAGGTGAGTATAGAGTTCGATAAGTGAATGTTTCTGAAATTTGCCTTAGTAAATAAATCTCTCTTATTTTTATGCACATTAGACATCATTAGATATCATCATCATTATCAGTTTTGTGAAGCTGTGAAACGTTTGAATCCGGGAGTCATTTCGTAAGTAAGTTGAGTATGATCGTGTAGGTGAACGTAGACCTGAATAGGACTTTTGTTGTTGACAGTGACTGACGTTTCGACAACTTGTGAGGTAGTCATCAGAGTCAAAGTGAATTGTATCACGTCAGTTAATGGTATTAAACCCTGGACATTGACCTGATTGGTCAATTAAGTCGCGATGTTATAGGCTATGTAGATTCGTAATGTCACTGCCACGTTTCGATCCGTCTATTGTCGCAGTTAAACAGTCGTTTAATTTTAGACAAATTGTCAGTTGTCCAGTCCTTCTCTGGTAGTTAGTTTTGCTTGATTCCGTCAATAAGTCGTTTTGTTCGGTGCCGGTAATTTGACTACGATCCACTGGCGTTTGTTCTAAGTTAGTAAACCAACTTTCAAAAGTGAGTCGTTGATAGTAGTCTGTAGAATACGTAATACATATCCCCGTCTCGGTCGATTTAATGTTTCGCCTGTAAATTGTGGACGGTCATACTCAACCTACTTACGATTATCATTTTTGTCACTTGTAGTGGTATGTAGTATTACTATTATCATTTATTATCATGGATTCCCTGTTAATAAACTCATTTATTATTATTATTAATATTATTATTAATTGTAGTAGTATTACTTAATTATTAGTATTATTATCATTATTATTATTATCATACATTCCAATTACTTATCACGGACCGCGCCACTCCACGTATCACTCTCTGACGTCAGCTATTTTTGATATCAGTAATATATAAGAGTGCAAAGTTCTGTCTTCCATCAAATGTCACAAAAACAAAACACAACCCTGACGTGGAAAATAGACGCTTCACGACCGTTACTCCGCTACCTGTTTTCAGTCAGTTTTTTCAGTTAAGGGAGAGATAAATCCGTCCCAGCTTCCTTGCTTTAGTGGAATATCATAGGGTCCCTAAACTCTTTTATGCCAACAGCTACAGATCAGACTAAACGAATGGGTATTTGTTCAATTGTTCTTTATCTCACTCAACTAGTTATAACTACCTGTAAATGGTAAAGAAAATCTTCATCGAGATGCAAATCGTTGAGACTACTGGAAAATAGGCCACAGAAATCATGCGTTGAGTTTTCATGACTTTCCACCATGGGGCTCGTCATCGATCTTGGAAAATGTGGTCTGTTGGAGCTTGATTTGTGAATTCCGAATTGACGTAGGCTGAGTTGGGACGTTGGAACAGGGGGAACTGGAAACAAAGGTGGATAGGGATACTCTGAATTCCGATGCCCCGGTTTAGAGGTTCCATTAGATTCCATTCCAAGGCTCGGCGGGTAGATCAGTTGATTTATCGAAGATCTAGAGTTGTAGCCGCTGTTAATGATGCTTTGAAGATGCTCTTTTAGAGTTTGGATGTAGTTTGTAGCTATTTGCAATAGCTCTAGTTTCGTTTTAACTCGGGTTTCTTCGTAGTTCGGAATCGTGCTTCGTAATTCTTCGTAGGCGTCGTTCATTTTTCGCACCCGCTCTCTCTCATGGCGATTCGCAAGGAGGCGCTTTTCTTTTGACATCTGCCGTTTGCGCGGATTTTTTGCTTGGTCGTCTATAAAAGGTTCCATTACTAAACAAGAAAACAATGAAAAAGTGGTTAATTTTGAGGTGTTTCAGTAATACCATTACTGAATTGAAAGTAGGTCATAAGTTGAAGAAAATAGTTAAGGGTAATCATTGATAACGTATTCAATTTATGATTAAGAAATGCCCTCTGTCGATATTTCCAATACTGTCATAGACTGATCGGCCAGTTTCTTTGAGACTAGAAATTGGTCTATTTGAAAGTTATGAAGATACAGACAAATATTTCCATAGTTCTTTTTCATCTTACCTTTTGAATGTGCTAGATATCGGTTAAAAGTTTATCGAGAATCAATTACTGGCACACGCTAGGAAACTGCTTGGTATCTTCAGTCCAGCCGAAGGGCTCGTTTGATCAACCTCACGTTTTCGCACAGTTTTAAAGCATAAATGTTAATGTAAACATTACAAAATCGCGTCATGCTCCAGCTGGTTTTTGCAATTGTTTTGAAATACCAACTGCAGTATAAACAGTGTATTCGAAAATACTTTTCTTGCCCGCTTACTATAGGGATACTATACTGTAAAGCCCGGCATTACCTCATCAAATCTTTTTTTTTTACATAGAAGTGAGTGTGCTTTTGTGGCGCCAATTCATGAATTTCATTAATCGTGCAGTTGTTGAGGGTTTCCATACCCTTTTCGTTTTTGTTTGTGAACTGTTACAGTGGCCGGCACTTTTATGAACTAGAAAATATGTCTAAATAAGATATTGAGGGTTTCAAAACAAAAACAGTATGAATATTTCAGTGAGATAACAGTAACATAACCAGTATAGACGTCAAAGGAACAATTAGAATGAAGTTTTATACGACTGTGCAGGGGCGGATCCTGGATTTTTTTTAGGAGGGGGTGCACTCGTGTCTTGCTCTACTTCAATACCAATAAACCACGTAGTTTTTTTTTTTTTGGAGAATACCAGTTATACTAGAAAACCGCAGGTCATCTCAGGGGGAAGGGGTGCGCACCCCCTGCTCCCTCCCCCTAGATCCGCCCCTGCTGTGTGTTAAATGAAAATCTGTACGGTCAGACCATCAAAACCTGGAACCATACATTTTCATGGCTATTTCATTTTCATAGACTACAAGGAATACTTTGTCTTAATTTATTTCTACAGATCACTTAAGATTGGGTTATTTATGTCGAAGTTTTTTATTTTATTTTTTCGGTCAGTTGTAAACAAGTAGTTTCAACTTTACACCAGGCAAACAAAGGTACCACCCGAGGGTACCACTGTATAAGATTTACCCTCCCTAAACTGATTTGCTGTCTCTTCTTTGGAAATATAACTTGTCTACAAGTGTCACTAAGTCAAATTCTCTAACACTAAACATGATTTCGTAGCGCCTTTAATTACGATATCCATACTTGATTGTCTTCTTAATTAATTATCTAGTCTAGTGAAATGAGAAAGCGCCTATCATCAAGGCAAACTTTCTAAGCGATGCTGTGTGTCTAAATGCATTTTATAATAATTGCTTTCAACCCGCCTCAAATTAGCCTTTGCTATCTGGTGATCCCAAGTGACGGCTTAAAATTTCTAGATGACCGTTCCCAAGAATAATATATTCCCTACGATCTTCTAAAGTTTAATTTTTCACAGTTCACTCCCCTGGTTAGGCCATTTTTTTTTTTGTTGAAAAAGGAAACCTAAAACTTTCAGACTCAAAAATGTGATGGAGAGAGAAATCAGAAAAATTCTCACTTTTGTAATAAGTTGAATTGCGTCTAAAATTTTCGGGAAAATAAACCTGAAGCCCTTGTCATTTCGAGAAGACTCAAGTTCCCCCAGCATGACCGAACAGATACAAATTTTATAGCGCCGCTAAAATGTACTTCTAGAGATCTAAAAGTACTATGGATAGCCTTAGAAGTGTTTTCAGTGTATTCAGGAGGAAGCGTCGTTGGGTGCCCTCTGGATATTTCTGATCTTTCCTCATTATTTATATTCTATTCTGATATTGTCGATGCTGACCTTTTTGTCAGCGTTCTCTGTAAAGCCGACCTTAATAAAATACGTTATAAATATGTACTTTAGTTCAGGAGAATACTCGGCGGGAACTATAAATCGAATTCGCTTATAAACGCTCTCGTGAAAATAAGGTTTCTCACTCACGTGTAAAAAGTGTTGTGTTAAATACAAAAACAAACATTTTGGAGAGATCCCTTTATCAATTCATCAATAAAGAAAAATACACAAACACAAACACAGCCCCCCTCCCAACCAATAATAATAAAAAAAATAAAATAATGATAATAATAATCACGCCTTTGTATGATTGCGACAGAACCTAGCCACTGAGGAAAACGTGATTTTTTTATGTTTTTTTTTTGTTCAATTTCCATCCCTCTATAAATAGGTGTGGACTGTGATTTCGTGGGACACATAGAACTCATTCATCCGTGTGTAAATCAGTGTACATCATGTCAAACTGTGCAACCTTGAGATGCAGGTTCACAATATTTCACAAATTAGGAATAAAAACTGCGCAAAAAAAGTTATTTGTGTGGTTCATGAACAGTAAACGACAAACAAAGGTAAAACGTAGTCACATTATACAAATTAGCGTTTGTCGTTGCAGTAAACAAGATTCTAAAAATCTCTAGAGACCAGACTAAAACACGTGACTTGCGAGGCGCTATCGAGAGCTTCAATTGCCTCACGTACGTCGTGCGTCGTGTCCGTTATACGGGTGACTTCCCACGTGCTGTTAAAGTACTAGTGTTTCTCTTCAGACTTACTTACTCATGATCTAACAGTTTTTTGCGCCGTAAATCAAAGTGTTGACCTTGTTAAGCACCACATTTCGAGGTTGTAAAGGACAAAAATATTTTACCAAAGACACCTTAGAATCATCAAAACATTGAGAACCAAACCAAGCTCGTGCGACCGGCGATTCTATACCCACCTATCCGCGTGATAAACCAGCTGGTGTTACATGTAAGCCCAAGCAAGTACGAATTTAATTGTAAACAATGCCATACCTGTTTTTAAGACAATTGACTGGAAATCGGGTGTTATTAACATAATGAATTTAGGAGGTTGGAAAAAAGAAACTTAAGTCGGTCAGGGAATAGTCAGTGAATTATAAAACCTCCATCTGAGAAAATGTGAGTCATCCCCAGTGCTCGTTCGCGTAATACTGGTCTTAATTTTGACTAAGCGAGAGCTCTATTTCAGGCGTGTGTGTGTATATAAGTAAAACACACGTGTCCAACGAAATTTGTCTAGTTTGGCTGCAAGGGCGGAAGGATTGTTTTCCCTGCTATTCCTAATCGTTGCCGATGAACAACCTCTTCTGCCGGTCGTGGTTTTGCCTGCGTACATTTTCAACGCGCCACCTGCTGCTGTTCCTGCTCCGGCTGTGTTACTGCCCCTTACGATGTAAATTTATTTCTTGTCCCTTCAGTTTGCTTCCACCACGTTTACTCGTCTGTTCTGTTTGCCTTCGTTTTTAACTCGGAAGCCGGTTTTGTCGAGTTATCGTTATATATAAGGAAACCATTTTCCATATATGGAGGAGAAGAAACAATGCATTTTGTTAACGACGACATACCGTCAAGATCGAATCCACCGTGGTTACCCATTTTTCAGGGCAGTTTGTTTTCCAAAATATACACAAGCGTTTAAAGTTTTCATGCTAAGATCAGTTTCACTATAATATCGTTTAAAAGCAACATTAAATTCTCAGTCAAGAGCCATAGCTCTTGGCGATTTATCCTTTTGTTCGTCACCAGGCACAAATTTAAAGACAGATGATAAAACTGCAAGTGTATTCTGAGTATTTTTTTCTGTCTTTTTGCGTTTTCTCCTTTTATTCAAAAAAATTATTTCGAAGAAAACAACAAAACGACTAGTCACTAGTGTCATGATCTCAAAAGATCGTGTGCGGAGTTATCAAGAATGACAGTAAGGTACATCTGTGATTTTTCACAATAAAATTATCTTGTCAAAGGTATAAGCCAAAAAAATGGTCAAGAAAAAAAATGCATGATAGCGGAGCTCCACCCGCGCGCGAAGCGCGCGCGTGTGGACGAAGCTCCATAGCTAAGGAAATGTGGTAATCTACCCATCCGAGAAAATTTGGTCATCACGTGACCGTACGCCCGACCGTCCGTCCGCACCACAGGGAAACCAATGTTTTCTCTCACACTTTCTAGCTAGTTTGGGAGCCCAAGAGAAAACTAATTGCACATCAATGTTGTGATCAATTGACAGCTGTCAAAACAGGATATCCGCTGACCAGTGTCACCTGACCGTACCGCGGGCTCAAGTGTCGACCCATCGAGGTCGAGTACTTTTTTGAAGTTATCCGCTTACAAATTACCAGTTTCAAATGATCGCAGGCTCAAGTCTATTTTTTCCAATGATTCATATGAAATACGTTGTGTTTATGTCACTATGGCCCCGCACTGTCAAGATTTTGATTTCAAACTGACCTCGGACGCGAAAATTCAGCCACTTTTTTAAAAAATAAAGGCGGGGAAGACCTTTTCTTACCATGGTCACGCGTTGGTCACGCTCTACGTCCAATTTTTGTACTCTGATTGGTCAAAATTTGACAGGTGAGTTCATGCGGAAAATTTATGCAGCATCTTGAAAGTTGTTTACTTTGACAGAGTTTTGTGTCAACTTGTGATGTTTTTAACTGTCTTTTTCCACTGGATGTACAAAATGAAATACAGCTGCTATCAAGAGTCTTCTGTTATCCATGGCTGGTTTGTTTATTGGGTTTTTGGTTGAGAAATGCGTCGCTTGTTAAAATTGGGTAATCCGATTTCGGATGGCATCGTTTTCGTCTTTCACCTTGCTCAATGCGTAAGAGAGTTTAAAAGTCTCAAGCAACTATGGCCTTCCTTGATATCTTTCAGGAACTGAATCTCGAATGGTAAGCCTGAGTAATTATTGTATTTGATGTTTGTTTTTGTTATATCTAATTTCATAAAGTCGAGCACAGTTTATGCGGCAAGTTTTTGCACGTTTGTTAAGATTTGAGTCAATGATCTGATCTAGTATCAGGTTTGATATAAGCTTACAGGACTTTAAAAGGCCTTCAGATTTTTTTTTTCACGGCAAATAGAAAACAAACGTTCCGAAGAATATTTAGTTATAAATTTGGCTGTAGAAAGAAAACTTTGAGTGATTTTCTTGCTTCGAGGAGTTCATCTTTGAAAAAAAAAAACAAACACCGGGAGGCCGACTGAAAGTAAAACAAAATAAACTTAAGCTTTAGCTTTATTAAAGCTTAAAGACTCAGGATTTTTAGAGACACTTTAATACTTGTCTTCGTGAATGAAAATTGTTGTCTCTGTAAATGTTTTACCGAATTATATTTCTTTTATTGATTGTTAGTAGTCTCCCTTGCAATTTTAATCGCTTGTCCGTGGTGTTTGTTTTCATCGTTCATGAACATCGCTTGCAGGAGTACATAGAAATGTCCCACGTATCAAACGCTTTATAAGATTACACATCGTTATAGCTGGAACCATTAAATAACAAAAAGTAATGATAATAAATTCGTTATTATGTTGAGACGTATCTCCATTAAAGTTCATTCAAACACTCGACCACACTGACAGCTCGCACTAAAAATGAGAACCGGCTGGACGTATGGGTGATTTTGGCAATTTTTTGAACGGCTTCGCTAAAAGCCCACGATTGATCGTCCTGGACATTGAAAAATTGTGAAATGCCGTATTCTGTCCGAGGTCTGTATGATAAAAAGTACTGTTTCACCTCAGATGTGATGTATAAAAAATATAAAAGGTTGGTTTACACACCCTCAGATTTGTTGGCAAGGATTTGTAAAGTAAACCTGTCGAACGCAAAAAAAATGCGGCCTGATTTGTTTTCCAAGAATTTGTTTTCGAGGCCTAATCTACCGTGATCAAGAGCCATTATGGCTCTTGAATGTGATAGAAGATGTTTGTCATTTTTTGGGTGTACATATATTTAGGCTATCAACTCGATGTAAGATGTTTCACTCTAAAATAACTTATCCTTTCCCTCAAAAGTCACATGAATGAGCCCTTAAGTTAACTGATTTGTGGATTACAAGTTCATTGTTTGATTTAAAATATAAATTTATTAATGGGAGCTTCGCTTTTAGCCCTGGCTAAATCTATATATTAGTATTTCTTTATGGGCTGGTCCACGTCGGCATGCCGCTCAGTTCTTTGAATGATATTTCCTTCCGTGATATTTACGGTAGTAGTATCGACGTCATCGTCGCCATAAGAAAGCCTTTGCATCTTCTGCCTCATCGTCAGGATTATAATTCCCGCTGAAATCAAGAAAGCCTTAATAATTGCCCTGGGGGTGTACTTTGGTTAATATTTGCTGGGTATGTGCCTCTGGCCTCTCAGAGCCCCTACACCATTATCGTCTATTCTGTGGCCAATTATAGACCCCAACTTGGTCACTTTTGGACAAATATGTAATTTTCGCGATCCCGACTTAGTCACTTTCTTTTTTCATGAATTGACCAATTTTTTTGTTGAATGAAGAACACTAGCTTTACTTTTCATCTGCAGTAAACAAACATTCTGGTTCGTTTGCTAACCGTAAATATGAAGAATTGCCTTACCGCAAAAAATCCGAAAATGTGCAACCCTACTCTAGTAACTCTATTGAAAAAGCGACCCCATTATAGTCAATCCAGTCGCGAAAATGCGACCCCATCCAGCGGCACATCCCCATTAGCCTCTTATAAGGGAGTACTCCCCCTCCCCCGGGATAATTGCTTTTTTTTTTTTGAGTATTTAAATTAGTTACGTACTTACTTACTCAGCCTAGCGCCGCATGTAAAACACAGGCTGTTGCATTTATCCACCTATCTCAAGTCAGCTGGCCAACCGAAATTTCCATCGGCATTTCTTTGCATTTAACTGCAAATCGTCTATAATGGGGAATCCCAGAAGACTCGAATGCATGTGCAAGATGAAACTTACTAAAGATAAAGCGCAAGTCAAAACTTGAAAGTGCTTTGAATTAGCTGATAGTTTGAGAAAGAGTTTCCTTTGCCGTAGTAGCGCTTTACCTGAATCGCTTATTATTTTAATGCAATTTGATTGATTAAGGTAAAAAAGCTGTCACCAATAGTGGATTATTTAAGGAGACTGTGAATAAATTTATACCGTTTCAGAGTGACCTGTCAGACTTTGATCATTTTCTACAGCGGCTGCATCTCGTTCTTGTCTTGAGAATCTTCATCTTCATCTGCAGCTTCTTCGAAGGCGACAGCGTCTATCAAATTTCTATCATCTTCAAAAGAATCCTTGGGTACTTCTTGCGGAAGAGAACTTCCACTGAAAAAAAAAAAAAACAATGAGCTGCCAAGCTTACCATTTCAGAATTGACCATCAATAAGCAAATCAAATGTCCAAAATTACAACCACGTTTATGTTACAGCGTCTTATTGAAGTGAAGTTTTGCCTTGCCATGAAGACTCGGCCTAGTTGCTCAGTTTACTTTATGATTTTCTTAGCTACTGAAAAGCGATTTACAATAAGGTTTGTTTTGTGAAGTACACCTTGAAGCTTTCTGAGTGCTGTCAACTTACTAGCCATTAGAGTAACACTCTGTTTTTCAGGTTTTTGTTTTTTTTTTTTTTGTCATCGGTTGAGGTTCTGGGTGCGAACAGTGAAATCCAACTGAAGTTAAAAAAAAGTGAACTTAAAACTGTAAATGGCAAAAGTTTAGGTTGAATTGAGATCTTATAGCCCCGGCATGTCAGCACAAAAAAATAGTTACCCTAAAGATCATCCACCTTGTGCGTAAGGTGGCTAAACACAGTTTTGCGGGTTGTCAGCACGGCGCGTGTTTTAAATTAGACAAACAAACTTGGCGGTGAAAAAGCAATTTTACACAGATGACGATTTCTCAGAATCTACTCATTAAAGTTTTCTGATATTTGGTAGAATTTTTACATTAATCGTATTTTAAATAATAAGAATTTTAAAATGGAAGTTGAACAGACGAATTTTGTGACCCATTTAGTACCCATTTAGTAGTTACAGTACAATTACATTATTGATTGTCTAAGAACCTGTCTGTCAAAAGTTGGTCGAATAAGTTGGTAATGATTAATTATAGTAAGCTGTGTGCAAGTTTATAGCAAAATCTGATGAGAGAATTTTATGTAAACTAAGCAAATGTGAAATTGTAAGGTTGTATTCAATCGTTTATGTTGCCATGGAAACAACGAAAATGTCAAATTTTACCTGTGAATCAAAACATTTCATCAGTATATTTTTCACTTGCCAAGTTTCAGCTTGTGAGCTGCAACCTTTCTCTTGCTATGATTTGGCAAATGACATACACTTACAAACGGCCAAAACTGTGTTCAGCCACCTTAACAACTTGCACAGCTTTGTGGAAGTTTTTTTCACCTCTTTCGGCTTTATCTTCGCTGACTGTCTCGTCAGAAGCATCTGGTTTATCTTCACCATTGACAACGATTGTCTTGTCAAAGTTTTGAGGCGTTTTAAACAATTTCTCGGACACAATGGCCTGCAACAAAGCACCAAGAAAACAGTCAACTAAAGCAATCACAACAAGTCTTCAAATTACGCCTTGCTTCGGTGCT